TGGTTGGGAGTTACAGCCAGCACCATTGAGAGAGCCCTCACAATAAAGCATCAGCCAGCTGTGGGGGCGAGCCATGCCCTGAGGTGAGGCTCAGTCACAGCTGCGGGTGGGGGGGTGGGGGGTGGGGGTGGGGGGGTGACAAGAAGGGTAGCTCTTCCCTGCTGGTAGCCCAGTCAGCCCTGACCCTTGTCCTTCCGCTTGCTGACCGACTCCTCTGTGGTGTTAAGTACCAAGAGCACTGTGGCCAGCCAGGAAGCAGAGCTCTACCCCCGATGAGATCTGCTGGTGTCAGATATTGCAAAAGCTGAGTGACAGCTGGAGGTATCAATGAGTTATTTTGAGATAGGATCTCACTACGTTTGCATGGGCTGGCCTTGAACCTGAGATACTCCTGTCTTGGCTTCCTTGGTAAGCTTGGGATAGCAACCCTGTGCCACCAGGCCTTAGCACAGCTTCTTTTAACTTGTGGAAATGCATAACTGCCCTCATGGCTGTTGGGGAGTACCCCAGGATCTCGTGGGTGGCTAGCCCCGTTGGTTACCCCATTATGTTGCTGGAAAAGGCGAATCTCCGTTTTGTACGAAGGAACACACGAACAAAGTGAAAGTAACTCAGAAAGGCAATTTCTTTTTGTAAAAACGGCATGCCACACCCCCAACCTGGGCAGTGAAGTAGCAGCACACATAGCCCAGATAACCTCTGTCTTTGGGGGCTATACTGTGGGGCGGTTTGAAAGAAAATGGCCCCTAAAGAGAGTGGCACTATTAGGAAGCATGGCCTTATTGGAGTAGGTGTGGCGTGGTTGGAGGAAGTGTGTCACTGAGGAGCTAGGCTTTGAGGTTTCATGTAGGCTCAAGCCATGCCCAATGTGACAGACCACTTCCTGTTGCCTGTGGGTCAAGGTGTACGACACGTCCGCCTGCAGGCTACCATGTTGCACCATGATGACAATGGACTAAACTCTCAAACTGTAAATCATCCCAATCAATGTATTTTCTTTAGAAGAATTGTTGTGGTCACAGTGTCTCTTCAGAGCAATAGAGACCCGCAAACATATTATTTTGTTGTGTTTGAGATAGTGTCTTACTATGTAGTCCTGACTGGAATTCATAGAAATCCTCCTGCCTCTGCCTCAAGTGCTGGAAGTAAAGGTGTGTGTTGCTTTGCCATTGACCTTTGTTTTGTAATCCCTAACTCAAGAAGGGAGCTCGGCTGCTTCTCACTGAGGTTCACCGTTACATTCCATTCCCAACTGGCTAGTTTAGAAATCAGGAAAGAGAGGGGGCTGGAGAGATGGTTCAGTGGTTAAGAGCATTGCCTGCTCTTCCAAAGGTCCTGAGTTCAATTCCCAGCAACCACATGGTGGCTCACAACCATCTGGAATGAGGTCTGGTGCCCTCTTCTGGCCTGCAGACATACACACAGACAGAATATTGTATACATAATAAATAAATAAATATTTAAAAAAAAAAAAAAGAAATCAGGAAAGAGTCCAGAGGGAAGATGCAGGTTTAGCAATGTGGGGTGTTTAAAACACTTCAGGAATTCCAGGATAGTAATTGCACCTGGTCAGATAAGTTTATCTAACAAAGGACTCTGAGGAAAAGCCTGAGGGGTGTGGAAACCCCAAAAATGTGAGCCTATTTCCATCCTGACAGACAGTCAAGATATACAAACATACCATTGCTCCTTTTTTTTTTAGATTTATTTATTTATTATGTATACAGTATTCTCAGTGCTCTGCCTGCAGGCCAGAAGAGGGCACCAGATCTCATTACAGATGGTTGTGAGCCACCATGTGGTTGCTGGGAATTGAACTCAGGACCTTTGGAAGAGCAGGCGGTGCTCTTAACCACTGAGCCATCTCTCCAGCCCCCATTGCTCCTTCTTTTGTAATTGGAGGTTACCTGGGGAATGGCTGCTTTCAGGATACTTGGTCTAGAGTGGCTTCACTGCCTAAACAACAGAATGGTAATAACTTCATGTCTCAAAGTGTTAAAGCAATTAACTGTTGGAGTTGTCCTGTGTATCACATTAAAGAAGTCTTCTTCCCCCTTTTGTATTGGATATAAAAGTACATGCAAAATTAAATGCAATGCAGGTGATTTCAGTATTCACTGGAATGCCCTCCCGGTACTTTCTATGGTTTCTGTTTTATTATTTTCACATGTGTCTTCATATTCTTTACTTATATTTCTAAATTCCCACACCCCTATCCTGGTAAGAGGTGTTTTTGTCAAGGCTGGTCTCTGACATATGGTGCCCAACATGGCATGGTCACCAACATATGGTGCCCAACATGGGGCTGACCAGTAAAACCCGAGAGCACACAAAAGGTGTATAAGGGATTACATGAGGGACCCCCAAGAAAATCGCACCACAGGTGGAGAAGTGAATAATAAGCACTCAAAAATAAATAGTAGATAATAAAAAAGAAAAGAAACAGGTGGAGCAAAAACTTGAGAATTAAACTGTAAATAGTTGTAGATATGAGACAAGGAAAGGGTATTCAACTAACTGCACAGTTTCTTAGATGTATTTTTATAGCTAGAGGAGCTAAAGTAGAACAGAAACAAAGGCGGAGATATTTAGAATTTGTAAGTATTATATTCCTGCCCTTTGCTGGTGGCAAACCCACCAGCACCTTCGGGCTGCTCCAGGACTCGAAGAGGTCAAAGCAAGGACTTGTCTTGCCCAAGCAACAGCAGTCCTCTAGTCACCTAGCCGCAGCCGCTGTTGCTACTGAACAGGTGGGAAGAGTGAAGGCAATCTGTAGCCTGCTGAGTCTGACCCATGCCGTGCTGTGGAGTCAAAAAAGGCAAAAGGCAGGAGAGTTTGAAGGTCTTTACCTCCCATAGTCAGTGCCCGGGAGCCAGTCAACAGAAATACCTAGAGGCTAATTGGCCAACGAGCAAAGAGCCTGTAAAGGTCTGCTCCGTCCCTTTAAGAGACAAGCCACGCCCACTTCCCCCTCCCCCCCCCAGGTAAGCTGATCTTCCGCTTCCAGCCTGAGTCCTTTCTCTTTTCTACCTCTCTCCCTAAGAGGCAGATTCTGCTTGGCTCCATTCTCCCCACCCTTCCGTGTGTGTGTGTGTGTGTGTGTGTGTGTGTGTGTGTGTGTGTGTGTGTGTGTGTCTGTCTGTCTGTCTGTCTGTCTGTCTGTCTGTCTCTCCCTGTCTCTCTCTCTCTGTTTCTCTCTGCTCTTCCCCCTTCTTCCCTTACCCTCTCTCCCCTTCCCTTCCATAACCCACTAAATAAATATCTAGTCTCACTCTGCATGGTATGCTTATCCATGTTTCTGTCTCTCACCTGCTGAACCAGCTGCCTTTGGAGACCTGCGGCATGGTCTCCTGGCGTGCCCAACTGTCTGTCTCTCCTCGTGGTACTCGCTGCCCCTCGTGGCCCACTGAAGCCACTTGGGAACTGCCCCTACCTAGGACTAGCTGCTCTGGGGACCTGCTGCCCACTGCTGCCGCTTGAGGACCTGCAGCTTTTCTGCCTCAGCAGCCACTCTGGGATCTGAAGCATTTTTACTTTTATCATTACAGAGCTATATGGATAAATCTATGGGTTTTAACAGAGGAGAGGATTCAGGAGTTCACATAATTCTGTGATTTCAAGATTTAAAATAAAAAAGCAAGGATAGTAAAAATTGGCATGGCTATGCCCGCCTAAGCTCGTGGCCTCACAAGGCAGTCTCAGAGCCGCTACAATGGCAGACACCTGGGAGCCTGTAAATTAACATCAGCCTCTAACACTGGCCTCTGATGGGTCTGTTACAGCATGGCCTATGCCAGGGCGCAGCAGGCAATGAGGGACGGGCACCGCCTGGTCCCAAGTCCCCCCACTGCCCAGTGGAGAGCATGGCTTGTGCCCACTGTGCAGCCCAGCTTCAGCTATGATCCCAGCCTGACCTGACAGCCAAGCTGCAAGAGTAGCTTTAGGAAACGGCAGCTTTAGGCTAGTCAAGTGTCTGTGAAAATGCAAATTAGCAAGTTAAGACTGTCAGCTAGGCAAATTTGCAACTTGGATTAGAAAGATTACAAACTTTTAATAAGACGTACAATGGCTGAGACCTTACTTAAAATATCCCACGAGAGATCTTGAGCCACTAAGAGAAATTCTTAAAGGGAGCAATGACCCGAATTCCAGTAGGCAGCTGCCAGAAGTTGCCAGACAGGTACCCTCCCAGGGAGAGTAAGCTATACAGAGACAGCAAATACATTATATTAATTATGATTAGCCTTAGCAAGCATGTATATTACCTATAAAACTTAATCCTACAGCAGTGTTATGGCTGCACCTCCCCATTTCACCAATTAAGGTATTAAACCCTTATTTTGAAGCAGTAGCTTGCTTGACCCAGAAGAATAGGATGGAATCTAGGAGATGTTTTGGCTGCGAACCGACTATGAGCAATGTTCTTTATACTAAGCGACAGATTGATTGGTTATTTCAAAATAGTGATTCTTGGGCAATTGTGTTTGCTCAATTTGGAGGTCAGATTAATATTTTCCCATTTGATCTGTTGCTGCAATTTGCATAACCACATTCCTTTATTTTTCCTAAAGTTGTAGCAAAAGATCCCATCAAGGATGTCATTGTTAATTTCTACAGATGGTTCTTCCAATGGAAGAGCTACGTATGTTGTTAATGGTAAAGGGGAATTATGGAGCATGCCCATAGCTCCTTAAAAACACAACTTCAAAAAAATAAAAACAGGAGAATTAATAACCGCCACATAACGCCTTAGGTCATACACCTTTTATAGATGCCTGTGAGCAATCTGCCACAGACAGATTTTGGCACGATGGAACCAAGGCAACCTTTGGATGAGATGACGGCGTATACAGCAGACGAGTGCCAGCCCTGATGACATCACAGTTAATGGTGACCCCCCCCCCACAGAAGCATCGGAGTGAGAGTCCATGATCCCGACTTCCTCATACCACCATGCTGCAGGCCGAGGAAAGGGTACCCGAACCAATGTTCCTGACTCACTACAACCTGCTACAATCTGAGAAGAGAAAGAAGATTGTGGTGATGACTGGTGATTCCCAGCTTCTGGATGGACTTGCTACGCAAACTTCCAGACCTAGTAAGTCCTGTTTACCTTGGAGCAAACTTCCAGACCTAGTAAGTCCTGTTTACCTTGGAGCCAGATCAGAAATGCAGACTAAACATTTGTTTTATACTTTGGGGGACACAACTCATTTTGGCCAGTATGGTATTCAATCTGTTGTTGAAATATAGGACCTGAGAACGGAGACCTCAATTTTCCCTTCTGGGGAGAAAGGACTCATTCATTACTACAAGGAGTGACTTATGCCCCTCTTCAAATATGAGGAGGTAGCCTAAGGGTTTTTTGCTGCTGCTCAGAGACTGAGACAATTACTTAAAAGCAGAATTAAAACTGGACTCTCACCCATCAGAGAAACTTTTTTTCTGTCTTTTGATTAGAATGGATCTAAGAGAATTGTGATATGACAAATTGGTGTTGATTGTTAATTTCTACTTTCTATTATGGTACTGACCTGGAAATATTTGTAACTGCTTTAGTTCACTGTAAGATGTTAAGAAAAGTTTGCCATTCCCAAGGAATTCTTGGGTTTGACATATTTGATAAGAAATTTAGATTTTGATACAGCTGAAAAATGTTAAGAAACACTCTAGACCAATTGAAGAGGGCATTCCCAACCCTCGTGATCCTCAACTCCTTATCAGAGAGACTGTAGCCATAGGAGCATGTATTTTCACAAAGCATTATCTAATTTCAGATGAACTCTCTTGACAGAAACTTGGCTCAGAGACACAGAACCCAGAGGTACTTTCTCCTTTAACCCTTTGCTTACAGATGTTGGCTGCCAAAGACGGCTTTGTCCTTTTTCCTCCCAGGTGCCTACAACACGGACATGTATGATTAGAATACACGTACCTAAAACGGGTAAGCCTGGGAAACCGGAAGGTATTCACCTAAGGCAAATACGATCATCTATTCCGCAAGGCTTTATTAAAATTAATAAAAATAGAGGAATTGTGGAGTCCCAAAAATGTGAGCCTATTTCCATCCTGACAGATGTTCAGGATATACAAACCTACCATTGCTCCTTCTTTTGTAATTGGAGGTTACCTGGGGAGTGGTTGCCTTCAGGATACTTGGTCTAGTGTGGTTTCACTGCCTAAACAACAAAATGCTAATGACGTCATGTCTCAACGTGTGTAAAGCAATTAACTGTTTGAGTTGTCCTTTGTATCATGTTGTGGGTGGATTTTGTTGTGTTGAGACAGGGTCTTTTTATGTAGCCCTGGCTATCCTGAAACTCACTCTGTAGACCAAGTTGCCCACATAAAACCATCTGCCTCTGCCATCCGAGAGCTGGGAGTAAAGGTGTGCACCAACACATCCGGCCTTGCGAGTGTTTTTTTTTTTTTTTAAATATTTATTTATTTATTATGTATACAATATTCTGTCTGTGTGTATGTCTGCAGGCCAGAAGAGGGCACCAGACCTCATTCCAGATGGTTGTGAGCCACCATGTGGTTGCCGGGAATTGAACTCAGGACCTTTGGACAAGCAGGCAATGCTCTTAACCACTGAGCCATCTCTCCAGCCCTTGCGAGTGGTTTTTAAATTTATTTATTTACATGGGCTTGTGCCTGTGGAGGCCAGAACCCCTGGAGCAGGAGTCATGGTAGTTGAGAGACATGTGACATGGGAATTTGGAATAGATCCCAGGCTCTCTAGCAGAGCAGTAAGTGCTTTTTAACTGCACAGCTGATTCTCTCTAGCCCAGCATTGCCCAAGGTTTCCCACAGGGTTCAGGTTCATCCATTCAGCCACACCCTTCCCTTTGTGTTTTCCTGTTTTCTCAGTTTGTGGGCGACAATATGAGTGGTTTAGGCAGGCACAAACCAGTTTGGGGACAAAATACCCTTGCTGCTGCGAAGCAAATTGCTGTGGCCTGGAGAGGAACAGGAGGGTGTCCAGGCTCCCTCTGGGCAAGGAGCAGAGTGACAGACCCAGAATGGAACTGGTCTGTCTCCTGCAGGGGTGCTGGGAGCATCTTCAGGGCTGGAAATGGCGCAGCACCTTCCCAGCTTCTCCCAGAGTGTCTGTAAAGCCAGGAAGCTGGCTCCTAGCACCTGTGTGACAGTGTGCCCTCTGCCCCCCTTCCTTCACTCCAGGGTGGAGTACAACCCTCTGATCAAAACAGCCGTGGGGTTTATCAGATCAACTGTGCCTGTTTGTAAGAGTCCATCATGATAGGACTTGTTGATGGCCCACATTCTCTTGTAAAGGAGTGGCCGGGGAAGGTCACTAGATTGTTACCTGTGATTTCTAGCCACCTCCATCCTTGCCTTCTGTGTGCCCTAATTGCACATGACTTCAGGGTCTTGGGGATTAGGAGTTGGTAGGAAATGTGTGTGTGTGTGTGTGTGTGTGTGCGCGCGCGTGTGTGTGAAGCAGAATTCCATCCATCTATACAGCTAAAGGGAAGCCCATCACCCATGCTTTTGGGTCACCCATGAGCTTTAAGTAAGCCTAATAAATCTGTTTCCACGGGGTGAACCCTGGTGGCATTAAACTTTGGTTTGTCAGTGGGAAGTTCTGAGGCGAGTGTAGGTGGGTCAAGTATGAGGATAACAAGGAAAAGGGGACTGAGTAAGGGGAGCAGCCATGAGGGGAAGGAGGCAAGAGTCCATACTGAAGAGCAAGTAGGCTTGCTCTTCAGTTTTTCTGCCCTTAGACTGAGGGTGACGGTGATGCTAGCCATAGTACTTACTATAGGGCTCCCCAGGAGGGCTCGTCAGGACTGGAAAGCCCTGTGGTTTCAGGGAATAATAGGCTTCCTGAGAGGGTTTGTCTCCTTTCGTTAATGAATGATGCCTGGTTGTGCATACGGTAGATGAATAAATATGAAATGAAATCGTCTGTACAAGGCCTAAATCCACTGACGGCTAAAAGGGAGGGTTCTGTGCCTCTCCGAATAAAGAATCCTGCCATTATGCTAGCAAATCAGAGGATCAGAGAGGAGGGAAACAGCTCAACGCAAAGAACCGACGAAAGCGCGGCCTAGAAAACCCCAGTGCGCTCAGCTGCTGCTGGAAGTGGCAGTGCATTTGGTGGAAGTGGACAGCAGCTGGTGCGCTTGGCCGCTGCTGAAGAAAGCAGCTCGGCTGGTGTCTCCGTTGGCTGGTGTCTCTGACGGGCCCTTTCTCTGATCATTCCAGCAGCATTATTAGAACCGTGCCTGCTGAACTGACTGACCTCACTACGTTACCTCTCAGATAGATGCTGTAAAGCTACTCTGGTTCTGACGTCGGAGCCAGCTTATCAAGACTGAGGACTCCGAGTGTCCAGTCCCCTATGACGTGGTGGAGTTTTACGCTGGATTTTGTAACAAAGATTGCTAATGGCTCCAACAGCAGGGAACAATATAGGAGGGAATTTGAGTAATAAAGTTACAGAGTATTTACCAATAAATTTATTTAGAGAATGTTGTCACGCAAAACTAAAATGTAGCTGAGGAAGTATGGTCTCAGACTACAGAAAGCAACATTCTAAACCGTTAAAACAAGGCCGAGAGGGGGAGGGCTGGAGAGTTAGTAAAGGACCCAGGTTCCATTCCCAGCACCCACAGGGAGGCTCACCACTCTTTGCCTGCATGTATGGTGTGCAGACATATATGAGAGCAAAAGATTCATACACACAAGATAAATGTAAAAATATAAAAAATAAGTAAAGAAAGGAAAATAAGGTATAAGTAGCATTGTACTTATAACATTAAAGCTTGGATTAGATCCCTGTTAAAATTGGCCCACCAAAACGGCTAACTATGAGGGAAATTGTATCAGGGAAAGCAGGATTCCATCACAGGGCAAAGAACAGCTCCAGGACAGCACGGTAGGGTCTCTGCTTTGCGATCTTCCCACGCTGGTGTGCTCTGGGGATAGCTGTGGTGGTGTCTCTGCTACACAAATCTTCTCTCTTCCCCAAAAGGCTCAGCTCCGTTTCTGCCTATGTAAAACACGTTTAATTGCTGACCATGTAACCTGAGGCCAGAAGCTAAAAGAGATTGACAGACGACAGCCTATGCGGAATGCTAGATAGCGCTCACGGTCTACAGAAGCTGCGAGGTTCTCTGTCAAGAAGAGTTTCTCTTTGGGCGTCAGCCAGGATGGGATGTGTGCTACTGAAGATCTTTCTCCTTCTTCCCTCAGTGTTTGAAGTAGGTTCTCATTAACCTGATGCTTCCCAATTACTAGGTAGACATATGTAGTCATTAGACCCACAGACGAGACAGCTGTAGACGAGGCCCACAGAGGAGACAGCTGTAGACGAGGCATGGAATGAGGTCAAAGCAGGTTATCTGGTGTATTTCTCATTTCCGGGGTATCTTGAGTCTCATTGGATATGCCATACAGCGTGTGTTCCAGGGACATGGACGTTAGTATTCAGGCATCTGTACTGGCCTGACCTTGGGGTATATGTCCTCAGCTGTAGCCACCTGTGCACATTCACTACATTCCCTTTTTAAAAGGGCCCTGCCCACCTCCCATCTCTCCTCTCCTCTCCTCTCCTCTCCTCTCCTCTCCTCTCCTCTCCTCTCCTCTCCTCTCCTCTCCTCTCCTCTCCTTTCCTTTCCTCTCCTCTCTTTTCCTGCCACTCCTGTCCCCAGAGCCTGGTCTCCCCTCTCCCCTCCCCCCTTTTCCCATTCACTTTGCCCCACTAAAAACCCCTCCACCTGAGCTCGGCATGGCGTCTTTCTCTCACGCGCCGTTTTTTCAAACCACACCAATGGAGGTAAAAGGTTGCAAGTCCACCAGGAGAGACTGGTTTATTTGGGGCCTTTATGGAGGCGAGGGGTTTTTCAGTGAAGTTGGGTTTAAATTAGGAGGGACAGCACTTGGGAGGCAGAGGCAGGCGGATCTCAGTGAGTCTGAGGCCAGCCTGGTCTACAGAACGAAATCCAGGACAGGCTCCAAAGGTACACAGAGAAACCCTGTCTTGGAAACCAACCAAGCAAAGAAGAGTGAATGAAGAGAGGGGGGAAAGGAGTGGACAGCACAACAGGGGTTAAATATGGATTAAGAAATGGGAGGGGAGGGGGGCGGTCAGCCAATACGTTCCTCCCCTGCTGGGAGGCTGTGTGACTGGAGTAGACTCCTATCTCTGAATCCTTCTATCTACAAGGCAGGGCTAAGCCAGTGAGAGCTGCAGGAGGTTTCATGTCTCATGGGTGTGCTTGGGTGCCTCAGCCTCAAGTGTCAGCACAACCACACCAGGTTCAGTTCTGTCTTAGGAGTTTCCAAGTGAGGGGCTGGTAACTATGGTGATGGGTCACTGGTCCTCCTCCACAGTCTCTGCTGGGCCATTCATTGTCAAAAAAAAAAAATTCTTTCCTGGGACTGGAGAGAAGGCTCAGTGGTTAAGAGCACTGACTACGCTTCCAGAGGACCCGGGTTCAATCCCTAGCACCCACATGGCAGCTTGCTACTGCGTATAATTCCAGTTCTAGGGGACCCAACACCCATGGCAAAACACTAATGCACATAAGATAAATAAATTTAAAAATCTCTGTTGTTTAATTAGTTTGGATAGGGGTTTGTCGATCTTGTTGATTTTCTCCAAGAACCAACTTTTTGTTTCATTGATTTTTTTTGGACTGTTTTCTGTGTTTCTATTTTGTTGATTTCCACCCTCAGTTTGATTATTTCCAGTCTTCTACTCCTTCTGGGCACATCTGCTTCTTTTTTTTCTAAAGCTTTCAGGTGTGCTGTTAAGTCCCCGATGTATGCTTTCTCCGTTTTCTTTAAGTGGGCACTTAAAGCTATGAACTTTCCTCTTAGCACTGCTTTCATCGTGTCCCATAGGTTTGAGTATGTTGTCTCTTTATTTTCATTAAATTCAAGGAAGACTTT